CATCAGCAGGAGAGAACTCTTTAAAGTAGAGACACTACATACTGATATACACCTGAACATCAGCAGGAGAGAACTCTTTAAAGTAGAGACACTACATACTGATATACACCTGAACATCAGCAGGAGAGGACTCTTTAAAGTAGAGACACTACATACTGATATACACCTGAACATCAGCAGGAGAGGACTCTTTAAAGTAGAGACACTACATACTGATATACACCTGAACATCAGCAGGAGAGGACTCTTTAAAGAACAATGTGACTCTTCCACAGGTGGGAGATGGCCTCGATGAGTCTGACGCGCTCCTTCCTCAGTTTGCTGTCGTACTGTGGTCTGATTTCTCTCGACGCAGAGATGTACGAGTACCTGAGGTAGTACATGTGAAGCAAGAGAGGATCAAGACGGACATATTCCAAATACAAGAAGCCTTTACCTGGAAAAGCTGCTGGTGACGGTGCTCCTGGACTTTTTTTTAAAAATACGGGTGATTCAAATTGCAGGACTGAAGTACCGAACTCACTCCAGAGCAGAAAACAGCCTTAGTTTTTAATCAATTTTCTTTCAATCCATTTTATTATAATCTTTAGCACAGCAAATTATTTTATCTTACATTTTAGTAAATATTGGTGATATTTATTCTGTCAGATTCTATATTTTGAGGCGACATCCTGGCTAAGCAATGCTTTCAGTGAAGGTAATGTACTGTAGGTTTAATAACTATAATTTAGTTGCAATAACAAGCTACACGACGACAAATGGCGCCTTCACTGTTTCTCATGGATTGTCCTGAAATATTTCAATATGAGACGTGACTGCAGCTTTAATGACAGAAATACACATTATAAATTGTTATTATTGATCAAGCTGTGGTACAATAACACATATATCTTTCTGATGCTGCTGAAAAGTCCAGTGCCGTTTGAAGAAATGTTTCTAACAATTTTAATTAAAATGTTCTACCTCTTTAAGGCATCACTGTGATTATCACTCAGACGTTATCTGTAACTCTTGTGAATTAAATTGCCTAAAAAAAAGTATGTTTTGTTTTTTGAGTATGACACATTTCCCCATATTTATTGGACATTTTCATTTTAAATTCATGTTTTTATTGCACATGCTCGCTTTGAAAATGTTATGTTTACAAACATATTTTTATTCCATTTTACCACTATTTGACATTTCTAATTAAACTTCTTGTTTCATATATTTATTCTATTTTATTGGACATTTTTACTTTATCATATTAATCCAGGGTATATGCAGGAATCCTGAAGTCAAATGCAAGTCCTTTTTTAAGACCCTTTCTATACATTTTAAGACCTCATCGCCACTTCGAGTTTTAACCGGTTACATTGGCGACACATTTTACCTCACATTTACTACATACAGGGTGTTTCTCAATGTCGAGGAAGGATGCTCCAGAGCCACTATTTCAAGGATGCTACGTCATCGAGTGCCGCCGAAGGACTGTTCCCATGTCCAGGATCCTTGGAATTATACCGGGAAATTTCGAGGCTGCACATGTGTATCCTCCGCGGTCTTAAAATCCCCACAATGCTTTGCGCACGGACCAATTTCCAAAATCTTTGGCGGAAATCGCGCTCCGTTTAAGGCGGGGCCTCGCATATGACGCACACCTGTTAGCCTGTTCCACCATTCTTCGTTTTCCCCGAGGCTATAGGAAGGATTCTTGCCTCGCTTCTGAAGGACCTGACTCGGAGGGACATGTCCTACCAAGGAAGCGTCCTCGACATTGAGGACGCTCGGACCTACGCGCGCCATGAAGCAGTCCATAGGTCCGTGCGATGTCCTGTTTGTTGGGGAAATATTTTCCAAGGCCCATAACTTTTTCAAACTGTCCTGACTGAGCACACGCACCTGTAACCTTGGCTGCTGTGCTCTCAGTGTTGTCTCCTTGTTCCTGCCTGTTGGCGTCAGCTGATAGAGGTGTGATGATTCTATCTTGTTTTGCACAATGTTGATTATTCTCTCTGAACTAGCTAAATACACGGGTCTGGGGTGGAGTTCTTCAGAGCTGATTGTGGCATCTCAACCGTGTGGTCAACTCGTGGCCCGTGACATGTCGTGTGAATTCTCCGGCCGAAGCTCCAAATAAACCGTCAGTGTTTGCCATCAAAGCTCCAGCTCTCCATCGTGTCTCTCTTTGAGTCCTGACTCCCATTGCTTCAGAAGTTTCCCCCACACTGTTCAGATGACGTCAAACCCAACGGGATGCCATAAATACACTACACAGAATCACACTACACACCTACGCAATGATTATATGAGCTCCCTGAACGTTGGTAATAGACGAGTTGGGATCGCGGAGAAACACTCACTCAGCCGTATCTTTTCTCGAGTCTCAAAGGGCGGAGCAGCGAGCCCCGTAACGTCCCGCCAACACGGCACCCAGACCCCACGCAACATTCTCATCTGTTTGTCATTTCCTGGTTGCTAACAAACGCCATTGTAACACATACTCACTGATGTTCAGCTGTAACGGTGGTGGACTCATCAGAACAGAGTGGGCGAGCTCACAAAAGACTCAAAAAACACACACAGACCCAACGCTTGTGTAAATTAATTTTTACTGATTTTTGTTTCTTTTTTAATACAAAATATCTTAAGAAAACATAGCTGTCCTCTTTTCTTTTTTTTTTGTCTACGAAGTAAGAAAAACAAATCAGTTTTGCACAAAAACGGCCATAACAAAAAATTGTTCTCCGTTGAGTAAAAAACATTTCAGTGGACGAGTCGGGGGGGAATGTTTCTCAGAAATGAGCCGTGACTCGGTCCACCTCCAGGAGGTCGTCCAGGATCTGAGGAGCACAGAGAGCGGGAATTAAACATTAGTAATTCATAATAATGGAAACTAAGAGTTCGATATAGGGCAGGGGTGTCAAACTCAATTTCATCACGGGCCACATCAGCATTATGGTTGCACTCAAAGGGCCAGTTGTAACTTTAAGACTATATCATTAATTAATATAACTTCATAATTAACTACGTCTGAAAGCAGAAGTCTAGAGCAAATAATTGCAAGTCTCTTCCGTAAGAATGTCACAATATGATTTTAAAAGAAAAGCCACATTCTGGAAAAACATTGACTGTGACATTTTGAAAAAGAGAAGTGACATTTTGAAAAAAAAATCTATTTATGAGAAAAAGGCTAATTCTAAGAAAAAAGGCATATTTGGACAAAAAAAAGTCAAATTCTGAGAAAAAGTCAAATTTGAGATGCATTGTGGGACATGTCGTTTATGGGCAACGTGCTTCTGTAAAGTAGCATGTAACCGTATCATAAACATATTATATTCTTTGCAAGCTCTTGTGGGGCCACATAAAATGAAGTCGCGGGCCGGATTTGGCCCCCGGGCCTTGAGTTTGACACCCCTGGTATAGGGGTTCACAATTTAGAAAAATTCACATTATCACTGAATCAAATTAAAATGAACATGGTGTGATTGCTGAATAAATATACCCAAAAAATGATAAATAACTAATTTAAATTAAAATAAATACTTAACAAATACACAAATAAATCGGAAAAATACAAATTAAAATATATAAAAACCCCTTAAAAATAGACAAATGTATGTATGTATGTATATATATGTGTATGTGTGTGTACATATATGTGTGTGTGTTTAAGTAGATACTTGTGTAGATATTTGTCATTTCAAACAACCCCTACGTACTGTTCCGTGTGCAAAGCTTGCGGTCAGGTTTAGTTGTAGCCCGGTTTGTAAATTATATTGCGAGGGCAAGTTAAATAGGACACTGAATCAAACCGCTCTCCTTTCAACCTCACACAACAACAGTGTCACGTTACCTGGGAGGTGTTTGTCCCACTTGTCCTTAAAGTGTTACTGTGCTGTTTTTTTTAATCTCTAAAGGGCTCTATTTAATTTGCCATTTTCGGGTCTCTAAAGAGATGCACTTTGAATATAATGTGACCCCAAATAAAGCTAAATTACAGTGCTCCCAGCTGTTTGGATATTGCACTAGTCCATATTTTTTTGATTTGTATAACAGCCCTCTCCTGTTCTGAGTACTCACGATGTCTTGCGTGGTTCCGATCTTCTTGGCCAGCTCGCTGCGCTCCATGGTGCTGAGGTAAAGGTATTTGTTGAGCAGTTCTCCGTCCAGAATGTTCCTCACAGCGTTCTGCAGGCAGCGTTTGTTACTCTGCAGCATTCTGCACACAGGAAGACAAAAGGATCATTTACCCAAGTCCTGTCTATCATGGACTTTTATCACATTCTATGATTCTATTTCTATGCTGCAATTCTTTATTATTTTTTAATGTTATTATAGTTTTCTTAAAATAGTTCTCTATCCATTCTTGTTTAACTTTTATGTATGCACCACGACATCAAGTCAAATTCCTCGTACGTGTCGACCTACCTGGAAATAAACCTGATTCTGAAGTCAATATAATAATAATAATAATAATAATAATAATAATAATAATAATAATAATACATGACACTTATATAGCGCTTTTCTAGGAACTCAAAGACGCTTTGACAGAGAGGAACACAAAAACTAAGAAAATACGTAACGAGACAAACAGAAAAAAGGGGGGGGGGTGGGGGTCAGTGGTTGAATGCAGTGTTTAAGTGGGGTGGGGGTCAGTGTTTGAATGCAGTGTTTAAGTGGGGTGGGGGTCAGTGGGTGAATGCAGTGTTTAAGTGGGGTGGGGGTCAGTGGTTGAATGCAGTGTTTAAGGGGGGTGGGGGTCAGTGGTTGAATGCAGTGTTTAAGTGGGGTGGGGGTCAGTGGGTGAATGCAGTGTTTAAGTGGGGTGGGGGTCAGTGGGTGAATGCAGTGTTTAAGTGGGGTGGGGGTCAGTGGTTGAATGCAGTGTTTAAGTGGGGTGGGGGTCAGTGGTTGAATGCAGTGTTTAAGGGGGGTGGGGGTCAGTGGTTGAATGCAGTGTTTAAGGGGGGTGGGGGTCAGTGGTTGAATGCAGTGTTTAAGTGGGATGGGGGTCAGTGGGTGAATGCAGTGTTTAAGGGGGGTGGGGGTCAGTGGTTGAATGCAGTGTTTAAGGGGGGGGGGGGGTCAGTGGTTGAATGCAGTGTTTAAGGGGGGTGGGGGTCAGTGGTTGAATGCAGTGTTTAAGTGGGGTGGGGGTCAGTGGGTGAATGCAGTGTTTAAGTGGGGGGGGGGGGGTCAGTGGTTGAATGCAGTGTTTAACAGGTGGGTTTTGAGTGAGTTTTTGAATGCGGTGAGGGAGGAAGAGTCTCAATATATATATAGGTTTATCTTGGGTTGATCTTCTAACAGTTTGAATTCACACCTAGCTACTAAGGCCCCGTCCACACGGAGACGAAAACGAACCACAGTAGCAGCGGTGGATATGGACAATTCCAGGAGCACTCACCACCATTCGTGCATAGAAGCCAAGGCCACACCCAGCTACACTAAATGTTCTCAAGACAGAAGGGTTGGCCATTGTCAGGCAATTATCATATGGATCTTAAGGTCCTTACACGTCGATCGATGTCGGGCCGTCGATGAGCGTCCTGTCGCCCTACTCAGATTGGTGTGTACTGCACCGCCGTGTCTTTTTGGCCGTGCCGACACCTTCCACCGCCGATTCGACATGTTGAATCGGGAGGCCGTCGGCCAAAGAAATCACTCTGATTGGCTGTTCAGCTTAGCGAATCAGTGCATGAGAAGCGAAACAGAAGTGAGGGACCCAAACAAACTATTAAGAAGGCAAATCTGAGATTTCATTTAACTCCAGCTCTCGACACAGGTTGGGGAAAGCCCCATGAGCTTCTCGCTGTAGAGGGAACATGGAACGCACGCTATTTGTTGTTTGTTTATATCACGCAGTCTGTTCTTCTTCTCTCGGTGTATCACGCAGTCTGTCTTCCGGTTGTTGCCTCTTTTGAATGACGAATACACACTACCGCCACCTGCTGGTAAGGAGAGTTATTGCCACTCACGCATGCGCAGTTCGTACGTGCTACTTGGCCGTCGGCTGAAGTCTTTGCGGTGTGTTCCAGTGCGACACATGGCCAAGACGCAGAGACGTGAGGCGACGTTCCATCAGGACGTGTTCTTTGGTGTGTAAGAAGCTTTAGGTTTGTAATTAGCATGTATGCAAGTTTTGCCCGTCTGGCCAACATCTCTGAAGACTGTAATGTAAATTCTAGCTGAGACCTTCCCCTTTTGTCTTTTTCCTGTATGGAGTGCTTGTTTTTCCGTTGTAACGTGGTCAGATCTTTGAACCATCGATCAGTGTTGATCTGTCCTTCAAGCTGGAAATATATTGATTCTGTTAAATGCTTTACCTTTTTATTAAAGGGGACCTATCATGCAAAATGCACTTTTATACGTCTTTTCTACATGAATATGTGTCCCCGGTGTTCCAGGGAACTCACCAAGTGTCAGAAAACACAACCCTCTCTATTTTCCTCCATACCCAAATCTCTAAAAAAGGGGCTGTAACGGATCTGATAAAAACTGATCCAGATTTGAACACTGTCCTGACGTCAGGAAAGCTGTAGTACATATGCCAGGCCTGTAGGTGGTGCTGTTCTCACAGAATCTGCCCAGAGCTAGAAATGGTCAAATTGAGCAAAATGAGGCATGGCTAAAATGCATGATCTGTTTGGTATTTTGAAAAAAAAAAAAGTATAAATATGCCTTATATAGGTATGGTCCTACACTATATTATTCAAATATAGCATGATAGGTCCACTTTAAATAACACAACTTTGGTTTCAACTTGTAGATTTGTTCATTTCTTACCAGAAGGTGATTAAGTGTGGAGTTTCCACCACAGTGTACTTGGGAGGAATTTCGGAGGTACTTTAATAATAAAGGATGCCAGTAAAGGTCTTTCTGATGTCATGTTTATACGCAGTGACTCTGTAATGAGTGATAAGAACCTGAAGGCCTTGGGGTTGAGTCCAGCGTGATGAGGCAGCATGCTGTTCAGAGCGTTCTGCAACATCAGCAGTCTGCGGTACGTCTTCTCCTGCATCGGGAGCAGCATGCCCACTCCTCCGTCCAGAGTGGCTGTGGGGAGACATTTCATTCACAGGTTTAGTCCATAAGAAACACTTGGGTATTAAAGGATTGAAAAGCATCATCTAAAGCAGGGATGGGCAAATCCCACCTCCTCTTTTTGCGGCCCTCAGATCAATTTAGAAAACAACGTAATTAATAAAAAAAAGAAAACATTTAAAAAAAAAAGTTTACTTGTAGTGCTGATGCTACGTGATTTCATTCGGCAGCCAAACACCGCGAAATAATCTGTGATGTGTTTGTGTGTATTGTGTTTGTTTCCCGGGGAAAACACTCACGAGAAACACCGGCTGTTCTTACGCCTGCTGTGACGCCAAGTTACTCCGTTCTCCGCTTGTAATTATGCCGTTACAAGCTTTCAAAGTTGTATTTATCATCTGAATTTGCCGAAACAAGTTTAATATTCTGAAAGCCAAGACTTTGTTTATTTGAAATCAAACAAAACACCCGAACCCCAAAAAACTAGTTTTTTAAACAAATCCCCCCGGAGATTACGCAAATGAAGCCGCTGACGTCACTTCTTCTTCTTCTGCTTTGGGTTTACTGGCAGGCCGCAAACAACTTCACGGCGTATACTGCCCCCCGAAGCCCCCGGCCGGAAGTCCCCTGAGTTGGGGAAGGCTTCAGTAGAAGCTGCTGGGACTCCCAGCAGCTTCTACTGAAGCCTTCAGAGTAAATCGCCAGAACGCCGACACCTCCTCATCTCCACCGCTCCCATGTTTTCTTTTGTGTTGCCATAAGTTAGTCTCTCTCCGTTTGTGCGCTGGGCTAATGCTAATGCTAATAATGCTAATTTGAGGATAATGAAATGGCGGCTTCACAAAACCTTTCTGAGTTTTACGGGGCGTGGTTTGCAATCCGCCCAGCCAATCAGAAATGGGAACCTTTCTCTCCCACGAAAGTACCTGCTCTCTAGCAGGGACTGAAAAGGGGGTGGAAAGGTTCTCATGAACTAAGTTCTAGTTCCGGATGTTTTTGGTGTGAACGCACATTTTCGGAACTATATCGGAACTATACTGGGAAAAGTACTCCGGTGTGAAAGCGCCTCTTGAGTTTGACACCCCTGGTTTAAATCATAGAGTTATCTATCCTAATCAGACTCAGGGACTTACCCCACAGGCCATAAGACTGCTAAACTCCTAAATGTATGTGTATATGACATTAAACCTTTGAAATGTTGAAATCTTAATCTGGGAGAAGTCCACTCACCGAACCATGTGATGTGCTTGTTGTCCCAGCTCAGAGCCTTCTTGCTGCCGGCCTCCAGAGCTCCTCTGCACGGCATCCTCCAGAACGTGTTGATGTTCGCTCCGGCGTTAAAATCAGCTCTCCTCAGCAGCCGCATCCCTCCGAAGCTTTCTTTAGCTGCAACCAAACACACCTCTCATTACACACCTGTTACTGTGAGTTAACACTGATATATACGACCCAAATATATCACACTGTCATTGACAACTGTGACAAGTGTCAAGCCTCTCCCTGCAACCTTATTATATACAACTCGAGGCAATTAGATATTCTAGCTTTTTCTTCGCTATTGACAAGACTCCTTCCAATGCTCAGTGGCTCAGGGATGTTATGTCTTTTCTAAAACTGGATCAAATTAAATGTTCTTTAAGAGGCGAAACCTCTAGGTTTTACACTAATGGCGCATTTCCACTGCAGCGCGTAGCACGGTTTAAGCGTGCCGTGCCGTGCCGTTTTGTATTGCGTTTCCACTAGGCGTAGTTCCGGCTAGCGGGTACTCGTTCAGTTTTTCTGGCTCTCCAAAATCGTGGTTCTTTCCGGGCCAACAACCGGGCTGAGTCGGGCTGAGTATGCTAAACTAGAGAGAGCATCGCTGGCAAGGGGGCTACAACTACAACACAATGAACATATTTGACTGTGATTTAATTGTAATACACGTTTCAAAATGATGCCGAAGTAACAACATACTGATACCGGTTAGTAAAAACCATGAATTAATGCTTTGACAAGTCTGCAGACAGACGGCAGGCGAAAAACCTTTTAAAATGCGTGTTTTCTAAATGGAGATTGGCTAAGCTAACGCAGTATATGCTCCGACCGTCCACACTCACAACGGCCTATACAGACATAAATAAAGCAGCGACTGTATTCACCATGACACAGACAGTCTGTGGTTTGTACTTGTTTAACTTTTGTCTAGTTTCTGAACAGATATGAGGAGCTGTGAGCTCTGAGTGCTAACGGCTAACGGCTGGTGTTGGTTTTGTGGTTCGCATTGAAGATGACGTCACGGCTCCGCCTACACTGCGTTACTATAGTTACTGCCCCAGCTACTAAACTGTAATGGAAACGCAGCATAAAGTGAGCCTGGCCTACCAAGGCCTAACTATACCGTACTAAGCCGTGCGAGGCCCTGCAGTGGAAATGCGCCATAATGGCAACCCTTCTTAACCTTCTTCAAATCTCTCTCATTTGTGTCTACTGAGGTTCCTATCAATGTACCAAATGTCTTTTCTATGTGTCTTCAATCAAAAACAATTGTATATATATATATATTTTCATTTTAATTCATTTCCTATTTTAAAGTTACTTAACTGTATATCATTTTATTTTTCACATTGATTTGATTCATCTCTAATCTGTGTGAATCTGTGCTGTTTTTCATTCTCACCCTGTTGCTGTTAAACTTTACACATTAGCATACATACATACATACCTTCAGGTAAATACATATATACATAGAGGTTCTTGTCTCGGTCGGACACTAAGAGGAAAGAGAAAGGAGGTTAATGAGAAAATAAGGACATTTCTTTGCTAATTAAATTAAATGTGCATCATTAGCGTGTTTTAAATGTTACCCAGTAATCCCAGCTGGTTGTTATCCACGATGAACTCGATGCTGTAAACCTCCAGCGGTTTTGCATCCTGTTGCAAAAACAGTACGAGAACAGTTAATAAAAACACACACAGATAGAGACACTGCATTACAGGAAACACACCGTCAATACTTCAATCAATTAACGTCGTGGGTGCAGCAGTTAATCTTCCTCTGCACTCAAACACAACACTTAGGCCAGATTAACGCTAAATATACCCTTAAAATTAACAACTGAATTGATATTAAGCAACCAGTCATGCCAACATTAGCTACACTATAATCTGAGTTTTTCAATTTGAACTGTATTGTAATATTATATTTTAACTGTACTAGGGCTGTGCAATTAATCGTATTTTAATCGCAATTACGATTTTGGCCTGCCACAATTACGAAAACAACATAATCGGAAAAAACAATTATTTTGCTTTGCTAGGTTGTGACTGCACTGCAACATATTTGATCTAATTTATTTGTATTTATCATATTTATATATGTTTAGTAGCTTGTTGGAGTGCGCTCCAAAATATTTGTTGATCTTGTTTATTGGTATTTATTATTTTGATATTATTTATTTAAATATATCATTTATTTTTGTATTGGTTTTTCAGTTGAATTATACGTTCAGGGTAATCAACAGTTAAACAGATACTGTTCAAATTATTATTTGTATTTGTTTTAAAGTTCAATAAATGTATTTTTCAAAGTCAATGAATAATCGTATTTAATAATCGTGATATCAATTATTGACCCAAATAATCGTGATTATGATTTTTGCCATAATCGCACAGCCCTAAACTGTACTATGTATTATTTTATTGACCTGTACTCAAATCATGTTTTATAATTGTTTGTGTGATAGACAGGGTTCCCGCGGGGTCTTAAAAAGTCTTACATTTGATAATCAGAATTGAAGGCCTTAAAAAGGTCTTAAATATGATCAAAAAAATAAGAAAGGTCTTAAATATGATTTAGTAGGTCTTAAAAATGATGGGATTTGAAAGGTTCTTCTGTGTTGCGATCGCGTCTAAATGTGTTTTGGGGTTAGGGTTAAGTAACCAGTACGGCAAGAGCCTTTCAGTTCCCCCCCAACAATCTGTATTGAAATAAATCAACATGGAACCAGTAATCACTAACTTTGTTTCCCCCCGGCCCCTTATCGGAGAACACCCAGCGAGTAACCTAGCAACCAAGCTTCAGCTAGCGGCAGTCAGAAACTACGTATCTTCGAATCTACTTACAAATAAATATGGGGAAGTGTAAGTTCAACCGAATGTAGTGCTTGGTTGAAACCAGGGGAGGGGAACGTGTTTGAAGCCCGCCGCACCTTTTGCAAAAAATATTAGCGTTTGTTTTGCTAATGTAGCGTTAGCTACCGCAACAACACCGGGGGACCTCCGGGTCTACGCCAACCCTAAAAGCGGAGGTGCTGTGGCTAAACACCAATCATACAACAGCATGAAGACAGCAGAGCTCTGACACCACACACACACACACACACACACACACACACACACACACACACACACACACACACACACACACACACACACACACACACACACACACACACACACACACACACACACACACACACACACACACACACACACACACACACACACACACACACACACACACACACACACACACACACACACACACACACACACACACACACACACACACACACACACACACACACACACACACACACAGTCCTTGTTGAAATAAATACATAATAATACATCAGGAAAAACTCACTAAGACTGATTGTACTCACCCTGCTGACGAGGGACAGCGTCTTGCTCTCCTGTTGGTAGCGCAGCAGAGAAATGCTCTTCATCACGTCTGCAGCCAGGATGAAGTTCTTGATGCTGAACATCTGGTGGATGTAGAGCTGAGTGTCGATGAAGGCCATTCCCGTCAGGTCGTTGTCCTTCAGGACCCACAGGAAGATCTGCAGGGACAACGAGGAGGAGCTCAAAGTTACCTTTAGAGTTATGTAATGCTTAGGTAACAGTCTCAATGTGATACTGATGCCTTCGGAGAGAAAATACATTTCCTTTTCCATTCAAAAGCAAAACTGTTTATGAAACTGTTACAGCCGCCGCCTTCTATCTGCTTAACCTTTAACCTTTCTCTAAGTGTTTGCAGCTGTGTATTATATATGTATATGAGCTGTGCCGTTGCCCCGACGCCATTGGATGCCAGTTTCCTGTCCCTCCCCCGGTAGGCGTGACCGAAGATCTGGATTGGAGCAGGCCGGGCCCGACTCTCCAATCCCCGCACACACCTTCCGGGGCGACTACAAGACCGTGTGCACGTGTTAGTCCGGAGAGGTCTGAATCTGTGTCAGACGTCTCTCGGCACTCGCTCCGTACATTCTGTGTTAGTTCAGTTAACAGTGGTTAACTTAGTTGTTTGTATTTGTGTGCTTGTACCTGTATTCTGCTTATTTAAGGAACAACGTTAACTGTGGTTAATTTGTCTCCAGGCTGTGTTTTATAACAGCCTATTTTTTGTTAGCCTAATTCTCCTTTCCACTTTAGAAGTGAGGCTTTCTTTTGTTTATTTGTTTGTTAGTCATTTTGCTTGTGTGCTAACTTGTTAAAACTCTTATTTAAAGAGTCTACCTTAGTTCATTCTGTTGTTTATTTAAACCAGTGCCTTTGTGGCCATTAGTTTTGATTGTGGCTGTTTGTTGTGTAATAAAACACCATTTTAAATAAGTTATCAAAGTTACCATGAGTTCTATAATGCTAAGGTAACAGTTTCAATAGGCGCTTTCACACCAAGTACTTTTCCCAGGAATAGTTCCCGCACCTTTATTTCCTGGAACTATCTAGTAAATCGCGTTCACACCGGAATAAGTCCCTGAGGGAGCCATTGACGTCACTTCTTCTTCTGCTTTGGGTTTACTGGCAGGCCGCAAACAACTTCACGGCGTATACTGCCACCCGAAGTCCCCGGCCGGAAGTCCCCGAAGTTAGGGTCTGGCTTCAGTAGAAGCTGCTGGGACTCCCAGCAGCTTCTACTGGAGCCTTCAGAGTAAATCTCCAGAACGCCGACACCTCCTCATCTCCACTGATCCCATGTTTTATTTTGTGTTGCCATAAGTTAGTCTCTCTCCGTTGGTGCGCTGGGCTAATGCTAATGCTAATAATGCTAATGCAAGCAAATAAAATGGCAGCTTCACAAAAACTTTTCTGCGTTTTACGGGGCGTGGTTTGCAATCCGCCCAGCCAATCAGAAATGGGAACCTTTTTCTCCCATGAAAGTACCTGCTCTCTAGCAGGGACTGAAAAGGGGGGGGGAAAAGGTTCTCATGAACTAAGTTCTAGTTCTGGATTTTTTTTGGTGTGAACGCAACATTTCAAGAACTGTCGGAACTATACTGGGAAAAGTACTCCGGTGTGAAAGTGCCTATTTGGAGAGAAAACATACATTTCCATTATGTTTTTTTTTTGAATTGCCTGTCCATGGGTCCAATTCAAAAGCAGGATAAGATAAACTGTTTATGAAAATAAGACCTGTTGCACACCCTGTTTTTATTTATCCCCGTCGCTTGCTTTGAAAGTACTGCTAATGGAAAAGGAAGGCTGAATCTTGGGAGTTGGAATGAGGGGACAGCAGTAATTTTCAAACTCCAGATATGTGCTTTGTGAGTGTGTGTGTGTGTGTGTGTGTGTGTGTGTGTGTGTGTGTGTGAGACCTTCTGTCCGATGGCTGACACCAGGTATCCGTGGCAGTGGCACAGAGCGGTGACCGGGCCTTTCTGCTCCTTCTCGTACAGAACCTTGAACTTGTTCTTGGTGAGCGGCTGACCGGGCTCCGGCACGACTTCGATCACATCCAGGATCACGATCTGAGGATCAAACAGGAAGGAGTCAGATGATGTTTTTGTCATCATCATGAATAAATGAATAATGAGTGTGTGTGTGTGTGTGTTGCTGACCCTCCCCCTGCAGGTGACCTCCTCCCCCTGCATCAGACAGGTTCCTGCAGCGATGTATCCCTTCAGTCCGGACACCGTCTCCTGACTCCTCAACGCCACCGTCTTCATGCAGGTCACATGTTCCCACTCCTCAAGGTCAAACCTTAGAGAGACACAAAGGAAGGTCAGGACATATACAGGCGCCTCATGTCTATTAAAACAAGGTGTCTTTATTGATTTTTGCTAACTTAACACTAATTGTTTTTCAAAGAGCGATGAGATTAATAAGGAGCGAAGGTTTTACCGTGTGTTGGGAATGGTTTCCCAGCTGACCGGAGAGATGAGCTGGATGGAAAACCTCTCCTGCTGAGGGTTAATGTAACGATCATCTGCAGAGACACACGAGACACAACGGGACAGTGTGTCAGAGTTAAAGTAATATCAGAGAACTACCCGCTCACTACACTGCGATTAAAACTGTAGGTTGAAGTCTAAAAAAATAGTAGCAACACAAATAAATAAAATAGTAGCTAAATTAAATTATAAACCAGAAGTGTGTGTGTGTGTGTGTGTATGTGTGTGTGTGTGTGTGTGTGTGTGTGTGTGTGTGTGTGTTTCTGACCTCGATCTATGGTTTCAAACTCCTTCTCCTCTCCCGTCATCCTGGGAATGCGTGTGCACGGATCTTTCACACTCGTGCAAATAGCGTACACCTAAAAGAGAAAATAAAATCCCCCCCAAAAATCTGAGAAAAAGTTCACATCAAACACAAATCCCTTCAAAGTCACACACACATTGATTTTCCTGTTCTCTCTCAGAGAAAAAACGTTAGGCCAGAGGGCTTTCATCTCAAACTCTTCAAAGCGATCGACGCGCTGTTACTTCGCATGGTGGAGGTGTGTGTGTGTGTGTGTGTGTGTGTGTGTGTGGATACTGAATGTCCTCTTCCAATCTGAGAGTAACATGATAACAAAGGTATCCCAACTGTAGCTGTGTTCATGACAGGATGTATGATTACCTAGAAGAGCATCAGGACTGTTTGAGGCATATGATAGCTATGTGATTAACATGATGATTCAGCCTCTATGGAGATAGACATATGACAAGCATGCTCATTTCTGACGTGGAGCTAATCTGAAGTAAACATTGAATACTGCTTTCTATTCCTCCATCTTGTGACTGTGTAACTCCCTCTCTTGGATATCAGCATGTGAAGGACACTGTTCAGGAACTAGTTGATGCTCTGTATGTGATGACTACTTCTATTCTGGAGAGGATCACACATACATGGATCCTGAGATTGAAGATCAAGACGGGGACTAGGGATTATTAACATTTTTAAATCATTCATTTTTTAGATGTTGAGAAAAAGTCCGAATTTTGAGAAAAAGTCAGATTCTTTTTATTTTTGAAAGTCAGATTTTTTTTTATTTTGAGAAAAAACCTCAGATTTTTTTTTTAAAGGCAGAATGTGGAGATTTTGAGAAAAACTGATTTTTTGGGGATTTTGAGAAAAAGTCAGAATTTTGAGAAAAAGTCAGAATTTTGAGAAAAAGTCAGAATTTTGAGAAAAAAATCTGAATTTTGTGATTTTTTGAAAAAGTCCGATTTTGGGGGGATTTTGAGAAAAAGTCTGATTTTTGAGAAAAGGTCTGATTTTTGAGAAAAAGTCTGATTTTTGAGAAAAAGTCTGATTTTTGAGAAAAAGTCAGGATTTTGAGATTTTGTGGAAAAAGTCAGGATTTTGAGAAAAAGTCAGAATGTGGAGATTTTGAGAAAAACTGATTTTTTGGGGATTTTGAGAAAAAGTCAGAATTTTGAGAAAAAGTCAGAATTTTGACTTTTTCCACAAAATCTCAAAATCCTGACTTTTTCTCAAAAATCAGACTTTTTCTAAAAAATCAGATTTTTGAGAAAAAGTCAGGATTTTGAGATTTTGTGGAAAAAGTCAGGATTTTGAGAAAAAGTCAGAATGTTGAGAATTTTGTACATGACAAGATGTACTGCTTTCTATTCCTCCATCTTGTGACTGTGTAACTCCCTCTCTTGGATATCAGCATGTGAAGGACACTGTTCAGGAACTAGTTGATGCTCTGTATGTGATGACTACTTCCATTCTGGAGAGGATCACACATACATGGATCCTGAGATTGAAGCTCAAGCCGGAGACCAGTGAGATTTTTCAAACACTTTTAAATGTGTGTGTCTTCTTCTGTGTGAGAGGATATTACCTTGCACTCCACATGGTAGGCGACGTAGTGCACGGTGCACCTCAGGGGGATTTTTCTGACGGGCCAGGGGGCGTCGTAGGACAGGTAGGTGGGCAGGACGCTGATCCTTAGCTCACCCTGAAGGGGACACACACACACACACACACACACACACACACACACACACACACACACACACACACACACACACACACACACACACACACACACACACACACACACACACACACACACACACACACACACACACACACACACACACACACACACACACACACAGTATAATCATTTAATTACAAGGTTGTGTTTTTGTTTCTCTTTGTGGAAGTGACAGTGAAGGCAACCCCCAACGAATACTACCGAAGTGTGTGTGTGTGTGTGTGTGTGTGTGTGTGTGTGAGAGTGTGAGTGTGAGAGTGTGAGTGTGAGTGTGAGAGTGTGAGTGTGAGTGTGTGAGTGTGAGTGTGAGTGTGAGTGTGAGTGTGAGTGTGAGTGTGAGTGTGTGTGTGTGTGTGTGTGTGTGTGTGTGTGTGTGTGTGTGTGTGTGTGTGTGTGTGTACCTGTTTGTTGAAGTAGAGGAACCCTTTGGGACAGTTGATGTTGTGGAAGGGAGCGAAGGACTCTATTGATCCGTCGATGGTCATTGGATGAAGCCTGATGGCTCCGCGGGACGTGACGAGCATCCAGTGAGGAGACGGCCCGCAGATAAACACCTGAAACAACGAGGAGAGCTAGTACGATGATGGAAAACACACCTGTAAAATGTAACTTAGTATAAAAAGGTGGCAAATAATCAAGTAGGGCTGCCTTGGGAAATTCTACCATTAAAGAAGTATGTAATAACAGCTAATTATAATGTATCTATTTTGTATATATTACTTTACTGACTGCTCCATTTCGCTTGTGTATTTCCCCCAGGATATCGTGTCAGCCTTATTAATATAGTTATACCATTATTTCCTTATATTTAAATGTTGTCACAACACGGCTGTTATTCTTCTTTTCATCCTCACCCCTGAGTATCCCGAGATGTCCTCAAAGTATCTGAATCTGGCGATCCGGCTTTTCACAGAAACGCTGTCCTCCGTGGCTCCACTCTCCGCCTTCCTATCTTTCTTAACCTTCGTTTTCTTTTCTCTGAAGTTGATGTTGTGGGGAACCTGTGCAGAAGTAAAGAAGCACAGTTAAGATCCACTTTGTTCAGATTTCACTCCATGATGTCCATCTTTATCGATGTTAAGATCTTACTTTTTTGAAGCGCACTTTCAGGTTGTTCTGTGGCTGCTGTTGATCGTAAGGGAACGCCTCGTAGATCAGAAGCTCCTGCTCCACATGGACCTAGAAAACAAGAGCATTTCCTCTTATAGATCTAGACAACAAGAACACTACAAATCAAGAAGATGTTCTCCTTTGATCTATAAAACAAGAACCCAAAGAGAACCACAGTGACACGTCCTAAAAACCGAAAGTAAACTCCTTCCGGTTCCTTCGACAAAAACGCAATGCAATCTCTCCATAGGATTTAGGAAAATAGCTGGAAATAAGGTCTGTGGTTGAGACACATTTAAGAGACGGATCACGTTTTGTTCAGCCGGATCATCTCCACATGTCTACCCTACTTTTATAATTTTATAATCATAAATCTAGTCGCCAGAAGCTAAATGCTAACGTTATGCTATCAACGAACTACAGCAGGGTCGCTGCTTCAACGTCACGCCAACTTCAGATCCATATTCAAACACACAGATTCTAAATGGTACGAGTTGAAGCGTTTGTTTGAACACTTTGCAGGAGGCAGGTACTTGCTTTCAAGCAGAACAGGGCAAACTAACTTAGAGGAGTGTTTTGTGTTCGGCGTAATGACGTACAACGGCCTCCTCAACTTCTGTAGTCCTATTCAGCCACTTGGTAACAACCATCGTTTTTCAGACACGTCAACTCTTCAGAAATCACCAGTGGGGTCACTGCTGATGGATTTAATGTCCTAGAACAAAACGTGATCCGTCTCTTCAATGTGTCTCAACCACAGACCTTAGTTCCAGATAGTTTCCAAAATCCTATGGAGAGATTGCATTGGTTTTTGTCGAAGGAACCGGAAGTGGTAAAATGCTAATATACTTCCGGGTTTTAGGACGCGTCACTGTGGCACTCTATTGTCTTGTGTATTTAGAAATCAAGAACTCTTTTAGATTTGGATATACGTAGATATCAAGATCAATAAAACAAAAACACTTTTTCTTATGGAGCTTAATTTGAATCCAGACACACAACAAAACTCACCAGTAAATACGGTCTGCTGCACATGTAGCCCAGTGAGACCAAAGACACCTCTTTGACGAGCGGGATGTCTCCTTGCCGAGTTACTTCCTCTTTTTTACCGTCCCCCTGCGCTGCCGATTGGCCGGAAGAACTGTCCACCAAAACTCTCTGACCAACGGGGAAGTTCTTCACCAGGAACACCAGCCGCCACTCTGGGAGCTGGTAGATCTGTAACAAAAAGAAATCAATAAAAAACGTGCTAGAAACGGCACTAACATGCTATTTATTAAAGTGCATATGTAAACATAGCTTATCAAAATCAGTCACATTGTGAAAAAGGAGATTCTTGGCTTTCAAATTATATATTTATTGTATTATGTTCTCCAAATCAGCAGCTTATTATTCATGGATATCCATCGCATTGTTCAGGCTAACCCATTTTTTATGATAGTAGCATAGAGCAGGGGTTAAATAAAATTATTATTACCCCCCCACCCCCCCCTAATCTGAACATTGGATAAAGCCAGGTTCGAAATTCTTGTTTCATTTTGTAGTCATATTAGAATCTAAAGTTTTTTCAGAAGGGATTTTGGATGTCTCTTTTTCTCACTCAAAAAAACAGCTGTAAAATATCAATTTTCACCATGTTTTTAGGTATAACATGTTAAATAATTCAGGCTATGAATGATATATGAACAAACCCTTCTGTAAAAACCTTCAGAATATTGATAGGAATATAACTGGAAGGTTTGGTGTATGTACGTGCTACTGAAGTGGACATTTCTCACTCAGAATAGTAGAAAAAACTAATTCTTTTGAGAAAACGACCTTTAAAGATTGCTGTGAGGCGCTACCTAAACCCTCCTGTTCTTTGGATGACAGCTTGCGCCTCGACACACTCCGTGAAGGTATTTCGTGTTCGGGATCATTTGTTTTTTGTCTAACATTGCTTCGTGCAAGTGACACTTTTTTTCCGCTGTTCTTTTGCCATTTTAAGATTTAAATTTCCAGCGGAAAGCTAAACCAAGAAGTGTTTTAGCACACCACGTGACGCATCTGAACGAATCACGTTGTCAGAAATTGACACCAGCCAATGAGATTTAGTTTCTTGGTTTAAGACCCCTTTGCACTTTCACGATTGGTTGCTGATACAAAGGAAATTACCATATTTGGATCCGATGAGATTGTGCAGGAGAGACGGAGCTTTCCAACGATACCTCTGATGACATGGTGCAAACAGCGGTCGCGGTACTTTATGTTACGTTAGAATGCTAACTTTTGGTGAATTTAGGAGAAATCTACAGACACAAATAGACAAACTATAGCAAAATAAACACCTAAATGTGTATTTTGTACGTTTTCCTTCCAAAAGCCTGAAAGAAAACATGTTATGGAATCAAAATAGCACAAAATCTCAAAATTGACCAGTGCATGAAAAACGATGTTTTTGCCTGCCGTGTCTCGCCTTAAAGAGTGAGACACACCGGAGTTGAGGATCTGTGGGGTTTGTATGTCGATGTATGGGAAACACTGTTATTTGGGTTACTATCTGGCACTGTTATTTGGGTTACTATCTGGCACTGTTATTTGGGTTACTATCTGGCACTGTTATTTGGGTTACTATCTGGCACTGTTATTTGGGTTACTATCTGGCACTGTTATTTGGGTTACTATCTGGCACTGTTATTTGGGTTACTATCTGGCACTGTTATTTGGGTTACTATCTGGCACTGTTATTTGGGTTACTATCTGGCACTGTTATTTGGGTTACTATCTGGCACTGTTATTTGAGTTACTATCTGGCACTGTTATTTGGGTTACTGTCTGGCATTGTTATTTGGGTTACTGTCTGGCACTGTTATTTGGGTTACTGTCTGGCACTGTTATTTGGGTTACTATCTGGCACTGTTATTTGGGTTACTATCTGGCACTGTTATTTGGGTTACTGTCTGGCACTGTTATTTGGGTTACTATCTGGCACTGTTATTTGGGTTACTATCTGGCACTGTTATTTGGGTTACTGTCTGGCACTGTTATTTGGGTTACTGTCTGGCACTGTTATTTGGGTTACTATCTGGCACTGTTATTTGGGTTACTGTCTGGCACTGTTATTTGGGTTACTATCTGGCACTGTTATTTGAGTTACTATCTGGCACTGTTATTTGGGTTACTATCTGGCACTGTTATTTGGGTTACTATCTGGCACTGTTATTTGAGTTACTATCTGGCACTGTTATTTGGGTTACTATCTGGCACTGTTATTTGGGTTACTATCTGGCACTGTTATTTGAGTTACTATCTGGCACTGTTATTTGGGTTACTGTCTGGCATTGTTATTTGGGTTACTGTCTGGCACTGTTATTTGGGTTACTGTCTGGCACTGTTATTTGGGTTACTATCTGGCACTGTTATTTGGGTTACTATCTGGCACTGTTATTTGGGTTACTGTCTGGCACTGTTATTTGGGTTACTATCTGGCACTGTTATTTGGGTTACTATCTGGCACTGTTATTTGGGTTACTGTCTGGCACTGTTATTTGGGTTACTGTCTGGCACTGTTATTTGGGTTACTATCTGGCACTGTTATTTGGGTTACTGTCTGGCACTGTTATTTGGGTTACTATCTGGCACTGTTATTTGAGTTACTATCTGGCACTGTTATTTGGGTTACTATCTGGCACTGTTATTTGGGTTACTATCTGGCACTGTTATTTGAGTTACTATCTGGCACTGTTATTTGGGTTACTATCTGGCACTGTTATTTGGGTTACTATCTGGCACTGTTATTTGAGTTACTATCTGGCACTGTTATTTGAGTTACTATCTGGCACTGTTATTTGGGTTACTATCTGGCACTGTTATTTGAGTTACTGTCTGGCACTGTTATTTGGGTTACTATCTGGCACTGTTATTTGGGTTACTATCTGGCACTGTTATTTGAGTTACTATCTGGCACTGTTATTTGGGTTACTATCTGGCACTGTTATTTGAGTTACTATCTGGCACTGTTATTTGGGTTACTATCTGGCACTGTTATTTGAGTTACTGTCTGGCACTGTTATTTGGGTTACTATCTGGCACTGTTATTTGGGTTACTATCTGGCACTGTTATTTGAGTTACTATCTGGCACTGTTATTTGGGTTACTATCTGGCACTGTTATTTGAGTTACTATCTGGCACTGTTATTTGGGTTACTATCTGGCACTGTTATTTGGGTTACTATCTGGCACTGTTATTTGAGTTACTATCTGGCACTGTTATTTGGGTTACTATCTGGCACTGTTATTTGAGTTACTATCTGGCACTGTTATTTTGGGGGTCGCGGGCTGAAAAGTTTGGGAACCCCTGGCATAAGGAGAACAAGGACAATTTTTGTATTACTGGGATTAGGAAAAGTCTCGTTTTGTAAGTATTTTCCAAAAAACACAAACACACGTTGTATCACCTTTACCTCTAAGTTGCTCCATTTGCCGCTCGTCGTCATACCTTTACAAGCGTTAGCAGCACTGTATTTATTATCTGTATTCAGCGATACTATTTTGATATTCTTTGTTTTTATTTGTGATCAGATTAAAACAACATATCGTGTTTCTATTAGCCTGTCATTTATCATTTCAGTGAGACGTATCGAAAGGTGGCTGAGCGGCTAATTAGGATCTTGTCATTCTGTCTTTACAAGCTTAAAAATGTATAAATAACATCTGAATATGGCGCTAACAGATTCATATTCTAAAAAAAAACAGGTTTGTTTACCTGTTTGTTTAAAATCAACCAAAGTCCCACAAAACATAAATCCACATTTGACTCAAAATAAGTCTCTCTGCATCCATTTGATTTTGATAAAGCAGGTCACATATATTCTTAATATGCATCATATTCCTCGCACCTCCATCACTCCATTCTCCCTGCAGATGAAGCACCAGTGGCTCGGTTCTGCTTTTCCTTGTCCGTCGCTTCCATAAATCCCGTGAATCCCGTAGCTGCGTCCCATTTCATCTCTTCCATGCGCAGCGCTGGCGTTTGAGTCTCCGTACAGCATCTCCTCCTCGTCATCCACTAAGTTGCTACTGTACACGCAAACATTTAAAGGTCCCCTATTATACTGCTCTTAATCAATATATCACAGGTCTCAGATATATACAGAACCTGTCTCTGATTGGCTGAAACACCAAACAGATCATTGCAGCATTACCCATAATCCCCTCTGTTTCAGCCCTGTTTCCAAAGTGCTGATTCTCTGTCTGTTACTTTAGATGAAAATAAGGAGCCCCTCCCCACGCCCCTCTGAGAGACATTTGGTTACAAAGAACTCAATGGTGCTCTAGGAGGAGATTCAGGTGATAAGGGGGGGGGGGGGGTTACCTTGGTTGCTGATTGGCTAATGGTTACACAAGACAAAACATCGTTATGACATCATAAAGTGGCCAAAATCTGATCAGCTCATTTTCAGACAGGTTTTTATAGAAATGGATCAGGACAAAAAGAGAGAGAATCTTTGTTGAAGAAGAGGGGACACATGTTGAAGTAGAAGAGACATGAAGAAGAGGGAACACATGTTGATGTAGAAGAGACATGGAGAAGAGGAGACACATGTTGATGTAGAAGAGACATGGAGAAGAGGAGACACATGTTGATGTAGAAGAGACATGAAGAAGAGGGGACACATGTTGATGTAGAAGAGACATGAAGAAGAGGGGATACATGTTGATGTAGAAGAGACATGAAGAAGAGGGAACACATGTTGATGTAGAAGAGTCATGAAGAAGAGGGGACACATGTTGATGTAGAAGAGACATGAAGAAGAGGGGATACATGTTGATGTAGAAGAGACATGAAGAAGAGGATTTTGCACAATAGGTGACCTTTAACACCGTAAAATACTGGTTGTACGTGTCAGTGCGGAGGTGATGCTCTTACCTGAGGTCATGGATGATGGTCTCTTCCTCGGACTGATTCCCAGTGATGGCGTCCTCTTTTTGGACGGAGGAGTTCGCTCTGTTTTCCGTGGTGAACATGCCACTGACGTCTCGGTACGCACACAGCGTGACCACGCGGGATTGCTGTTCAATTAGACGTGGTTTTAAACATGTTAATTAAAGTTTCTAATCAGAATCAGGTTTAATGATAAATAGGCTTACACACACAATTTGCTTTAGTGGTGCAAACGTACACACAGTATGAAGAAATAAGTTGGAGGAAGGATACCATTTTTTAGCGATTACTAAAAAGAAAATATCTTAAAAACGATTTAACATTAAAGGTCACCTATCATGCTATTCTTAGGCAATAGCATAGGTCTCAGATTTATACAAATATATAATAAACATGTCTATGAAGTGTTTTGCTCAAAATACCAAACAGATCACCCATTCTAGCCATGCCTCATATCCCTCTATTTCACTTCCTGTTTCAAAAGTACTGATTTGGGGTATAAAGGTTTAATAAAAGGAGGGGTCTGAGCTCATGCGGGACCCGGCAGCTACTGTCTAAACTAAATACTGCCGTGATGAAACGCCATATCATGGATTATCAAGGATTATCTCTGAAACAGTATGGAGCTCAAAGGCTTTCTCTCTTGCCGGTTACACCACAAGGTGAGTTCCTTTTTATTTCCTGCTTCTTCACACACATGCTCTCCAGTACAGGTTAGCTCTGAGTGTTAGCGATGCTAATGTAAACACCGACCATATTACGTCCAAAACAGTCGGGCATTGTTTCTGATAGCAACGTTTCTGATAGGGCCGTGGGTCCACATTTCAGATATTACGTCATATCGGACACAAACCTGGATCAGCTCAGAGTATTTCTAGACTGCAGTAATCCTACTTTTACTTAAGTTAAGGATCTGAATACATCTTCCAGACTGACTCTACTTAAACTAGAGTACCAGAGACTCCAGATGTATTATTATTATTCATATTTTTTAATATGAAATGCCTCTTTAAAGGTCTGCTGAGGAGGAGGGTTGACTCACGGTGGGGATCTGTGGTTTCTGCAGCGACAGCCTGTGAGTTTTCCCCATGTAGGAGTCGGTCTTCAGAGCAAACATGGTGACGACTCCCTCTGCGGTCATGATGACGACGTAAGGGTCCGCCACGGAGCAATGCACTATGGGGGATCCCAAATCCACAGGGATGAAGTGGAGCTGTGTCACTGAGGGAAGATACAGAGAGAGCAGGTCAGTGAAACAGGTTGAAAACATGTCTTAAAGCAGAGTTTAAATATCCTAAATCTGGGAATTTAAAAGTGGTGTAACCCTAGTATTGTACTTCTTAACCCTTGTGTTGTGTTCAAAAGCTGTTACTGTTCATGGTGGTCGCGGGTCAATTTTGACCAATGATTTATCTCAGTCCAAAACACAAAAATAATGACTATCATCCAATATTGTTTTAACTACATCATAACTAACTTATTATGCATTCATAACCGTACAATCCTGTTTTAATTTAATGTTATGGCTCAAAACACATTACACCACATATTGCACACGTGCATGTGTGTGTTCAGGTTCAAGTGTTAGTGTACATGTTCTTTGTGAAAGGTCGAGTTCCCGTGGGGGGAGGGGGGCAGAGGGAGGGGAGACCAGGTGCATGTTGCGAAAAATTATTGTTACAGTTGATGAAGGGGTGGGGGAGGGGTGTCTAAAGTCAAAGATCTTGATTGGGCCAAATTTGACCTCGAGTGACCCAAAACAATTCAGCTGGGTCTCCCCAGACCCCAACAGCAAATTATACACTTTTTTTTTTAGAGACCTTCAGACTTGGCTAAAATGGTCAAAATCAGTTTTGTAGTGTTTATATATCTGTTAGAGGATATCATGAAGCCTTGTTCCCATACAAAAAAACTAGAGCGTAGTTATTATATAATTTTAACTTGAAATGGGTCACGGGAGACCCCAACACAACATAAGGGTTAAAGGTCAAAGATGGTTTCAGGTAACAGTAAAACGGGAAATGTGTTGTCTGGGATGCAAAATGGATGAAAGAGAAGTTTGAAAGGAATATAAAAAGGTTAGAAAACTGTCAAAATAACTATAATTTCACTGGAAGACTAGGGGTAGAGGAATGTGAGAATCTGGTGAGGGATATTTCCAAATATCTGGAACAAACTCCCAGAAACCTGCAGGTCCGCTGCAACTCTGACTACTTTTAAATCCAGGCTGAAGACTTTTCTTTTTGCTTTTAATTGAACTATTCACATCTCACACTGCACTGTAACTTGTATTCATGTACCTGAGTTATTCCTGTTTTATTATCTTTGCTTTTTAATGTTTCTAACGTGTTTTATGCTCTTAATATCTTTCATTTTTGTAAAGCACGTTGAATTGCCTTGTGTTGAAAAATGTTATATAAATAAACTTGCCATAATAATGTCAATTTGACATGTTTGCATCATCATGCTAATTCTACTAACAGAATTTTAATAAATACAAAATATGGACTATAGGACTCAAGAATGAATAGACGTTATTTGTACCTCCTTCCAGCAGTCGAATACCCATGGGAGAGACTTGGATGATGTACTTGTTGTCACCGATGTTTCCAGCAAACACAGTTGGACCCTGGGTAGCAAAACCACTGGTGTCCAGCTCCATGATCTCCTGCCCCGTCTGCAGGATCTACACACAGACCATTAACACCACATCACAACTAAATAACATCATATACAGGGTTTGTTTAGGGATGCTCCGATCGCCAATTTTGGGGCCGATCGCCGGAATCAGTATCGGCCGATACCGATCGCCGATCCGATCGAGTGGGCGGGGCCTAAATGGAAGATTTAAACATCACTTTAAATCTTCCATTTAAAGTGATGTTTAAAACTCAGTTAATGCTCATTCACTGGAGCTTCCACAAACAATCAACTTCATTATTACATTCAAATGATGTACATTATTCAAGTTTACATTAACTTTGGATAATACCACGGGAGAAATGAGCACAGAGAGAGAGAGTCTCTCTCTCTCTCTCTCTCTCTCTCTCTCTCTC